TTTTCCTATGAGATGCATGAATGATAAATGTTTTAAGTTCTTTGTTAAACTATTTGTTTCTTTCGCCTTCACTGTTAATTACCTTTTAGATGCTGGCTCCTTGGAGTCTGGTGGAGCCAGTATTAGAGAAGTATAGTCATCTTCCCTCAGATTGAATCTCAGTGCCCTTGTGCATGCTTTCCTGTGTACTTGCAGCCAGATATTTTTGGTACTCAGACTCTCAGAAGATTTCCTGGTGTCCTTATTCCTTGGTACTCTTTTAATTTTCTTTTGTTGTTTGTGCTTTTGGTTTTTAGGTTTTGGTGATTTTTGTTTGTTTAGCTCTGCAAATTTAGGGGATTTTTTCTTTATTGCTGATGTTCTAAAACTTTAAGGAATTATTAGTGAGATTTAACTATGTGAAATTATCTATTGTTTTGTAAGATTCTCTTATATATTTTTTTGTTTGTTATATTTTTCTGTTGTCTCTCTTTTCTGCTCCTGGAACTCTTATCAGAAAGATGTTGGACCTCTTAGTCTATCCTTTATATCTCTTAACATTTTATCTCTTATTTTCTATCTCCTGTATTTTTTCATTCTACATTCCATAGTATTTCCAGAGATTATTTTCTAGATCACCAGGTTGGCCTTTGACAATGGCCATTCTGTTATTCAGTCCATCCAGTAAATTTTTTACATCAATAATTATTTATTATCCAAGAATTTTTCTTGTTTCTTTTTCATAGCAACTTACTCTTTTATGAATGCGTTATTTCTTTGAATATCTCTAAAAGCACTAATTCGCATTTTTTCTCTTCTGCTTCCTTATTTATCTTCTTCCTTAAAAGGCAGTTATTAACTGTTCATCTTCTTTTTCTTGAAGGAAATATTTATTGCATATTATTAGTGATCATATTTTATAGCAAAATTAAATGCATACACTTCTCATAAACATAAACTGGAAATCCAGGCATCTATCAAATTTATATACTGAACCAAAGTTCTGTTTTCAGAATTCAGCAGTCAATCATTATTCTGGTCCAGGGCCACCACGATTTCTTAGTGTTGAGGATCTTGTCAGTAATTTGAACACAATCTCTTTATGTGTGACAGTTGTTTCCTACATAAAACCCTTTTGGGGGCACAGTTATTTCATCCTTTTGCTCTAATTTACTAGTTGGCTCAGAGATTTCATTTGTTGAGACATCTTTTTGTTTTACTTCATCACCTAATAGTTTGCTCTTTTTCTGGCTGAAGAAAATCAAGGAGCCCAACATGGTCCAGGTGCCCAATGTGTAGACTACAGACATCCACCAGTACCAAGACATGGCCTGATCCGGACCCATGGCCTAGTTGTTCATCTTGGTTCTATTTTTCTCCCTTGATATTGGATTTGTTCAAATATCTGATGATCCTTGGTTATTGATTTATGTTTATGAGGATCAAGTTGATTAATATAAGTGTCCTTCCTCAGCAGTTTGGTAGGCTTGCTTTAAAGTTTAATTGAATGTGGATTAACATTCAAAAGGATTCTAAAAGGATTATCAGTGGTCTCTGAATATATAGGTGGGCCATGTCAATAGTCATGTCTTCCAAAGCAAGGAGCCCAGAGGCAGGCTTCGGACCTCCAGAGTCTAGGAGCAGAGTACTAGGTGTAATTGCCCCCCTCTCCAGCCTTCTGAGTTTGGAAATGTGATCTGTTGATACTCTTCTTTGTTTCTCTTTGGATCTACCACCCATAATAAGATGCATCACAGACATGATTCTCTGTTTAACCTGAGAGCTAAAGCGGCAGGTGGCAGGCTCTTTATGATTTGTATTAATGGAGTTAGGAATGGTTTATCTCTGCTGTTCTAGTTTAATTACTCTGATATTATTTTTTCTATTTGTTTACTCTGAATTTAGTGGGTTTTTTTCCCTTGATTTCCGAGAAGTGTTTCTCTTTTTCCTCTGGGGATTGGGGCTGCTATGACTTTTGAGTATGTGCAATCTTACCTGTTTTTAATATTCCAGGATTTCTTTAAACTTTCTGTTTTTCTACTTGTCCCATTTCTTGTTTTCTAGGCCTATTATGGATTTTTGTTGTTTAAAATATCTCTGTCCTCATTTCAAGGTCACTTTGGAAAGCAAAATACCTAAATTATTCAGTCTGCTGTTTTGAACCATTACCCTTTTGCTTGTTTTTTAAAGTATTAATGTATATTATTGACTCAGCTAATGTCTAATTATCCCTATTTTTTTCTCTGGTGGGGGATAAAAAACAAGTCATTTATCTTCTTTTGAGGCTTTTATTTTCCTATATGTGAATTTTCCTTTTTACTTGAATACAGTTTTTTCAAATTGAACTTCTATTGTTGTTAAGCAAAATTCATGGGTATAACACTAATTAAAATCATCCTTCTGTGGCTCTATAAATTAAATAGATTATTTTGCATAATAAAAGTTTACAGTTTATGGTAAATAAGACAATGGAATGATATAGTTCTCTGGTTGTCTTGAGGGGCTTTTGTATTCCAAGCTATTGACTGACTAAATTAGCTAATGACTTTTTGTAACTTGATTCATTTCATATACGCATCCTTCAATAATATATGGCACTACAACATTTAATGCTAACTTTAGAAGGAAAACAATTTTAATTTCTATTGTTTATATACAAAGGTGGGCAAAAGTAGGTTAACAGTTGTGAGTACATGAAGCACAGTTTATTCTTGTATTATTATTTACTAGTAGCCCTGTGCATGAATCTGTGCCTGAGTGACTCGCTGCCGCTTGCCTCAGCAGGCCATCCCACCCACCAATGCTCTGTAGCTTGCTGCCCTCCCTCCTGTACCTCTCCACAGCTCTTAGCTCACTGCCCCACACTCTTATAGCTCTCTGCCTGCTGCCCTGCCCTCCTGTAGCTCTCCCTGCTTGTAGCTCACTGCCACGCCCTCCCCACTTATAGATTGGTTGTGACGTTACGGCGTCCTGGCTAATTTGCATATTCCTCTATTATTATATTAGATTCTTATCCTATATAATAAAAGCCTAATATGCTAAGTGTTTGGTTGGCCGGTAGGCCGTTCAACCAATCAAAGCATAATATACTAATGATATGCTAAGGCTGCTCAACTGCTCGCTGTGACGTGCACTGGCCACCAGGGGGCAGACAGTTGACCAATCAACCAGTCACTGTGATATGCACTGACCAGGGGCAGATGCTCAATGCAGGGGCTACCCTCTGGTGGTCAGTGCACTCCCACAGGGCGAGCACCACTCAGCCAGAAGCCAGGCTCATGGCTGGCAAGCACAGCAGCGGTGGTGGGAGCCTTCCTGCTTCTGCGGCAGCTGGACATCCCCCGAGGGCTCCCGGACTGCGAGAGGGCACAAGCCGGGCTGAGGGACCATGAATAATTCTAAATCATTCATGCCCCCGAGTGCATGAATTTCATGCACCAGGCCTCTCGTATTATATATTTTTTCATATGAGCAACTGTAAACCTACTTTTGCTCACCCCTGTATATACTTTATTAATAGAAAATACAAAATAATGTGTAAAGTTCAAAGTGTATATCAAATACACAGCATAACAAAACTAGCAGAATTCCATTGTTTTTGTTCTTGGAAATTTTATTAGAAATATATAACCCCCTACTTTGTCTTTTTTATTATATTGTTGTTCTTTATTATAATAATCTTATTTTTATGGCTCTAAACATTTTCTTAACCCACTAGTGTTGTCAAAAATGATTCTGCATTGTGTTATATCTATATATCCTAATGTAATGCGATATTGGTATATTATTTGTAAGCTTTAAAGGGTCTTTTAGTTCTATTTAAGGGAGGAGTCAAGGGATACAGAGTTATAACTTTGTCCTTGCTCATGACACAGATACTAATTTATAATTTAAATTGAATAATATATTTAAAAACTCATAACATTTTATTCTATTTAAAATTATGTAATATACGAACTAAATTTTATATGAGTTTAGAAGGCATGGTTTTCTCTGAAGAAATGTGCTAACATGAGCATTTTTTCCCTCTGTCTGATTCTGTATAAAGTTCCCAAATATAAATTTCTTATCCTCAAAATGATCTAATTCTTTTAGAAGGGTTGTAATGATTGTATATATACAGATTGACTTACTCATAAGTAGGCGTGTGTTTTAGGCTATGAGCCTCATCCAGATGTAGTTTAAGTAGCCTTTTCTGAGTTTCTCCTTTTTTTTCATATCCCACATTTAGTCCACGAAGCAAATGTTAGTTCTGTTTTCAAAATACATCCAGAATTTGACCACTTTTCACTTCCTCCTTTACGTTGGTTCATACCACTATCATCTCTTGTCTAAATTATTGTTATGCCCTCTTAACTGGTCTCCTGCTCCCACTGTTGCATCTTTCTTTCTAGTCTCTACATAGCAGTTGTTGGAGGAATCCTTTCAAAACAAAGTCAAATTGTGTTACTGCAGTGCTCTGGCTTCTTAGAATAAAATTCTAAATTCTTTCCATTGTTTATAAGGCCTTCCACAATTTGGCCCTAATTACCTCCCTGATGCTACTCTCCTTGCTCGTGCCCCTCCAACCACATTGACCTTTCAATCCAGTTTTCTGGCCTCTCTTGGCATTGCCTATCTGTTATCCTGACATCCTCCCCACTTTGTCAGTTTCTCTATCAGTCTGTCTAGTAGTTCAGAACAATGTTGGTCATATCACATGAACTGATTTGGTTAAGGTGATCCAATGAGAAAATTACTGCAAGACTTAGAAAAAGATCAAGCCTTTTGCTGATCTCATATTCTTTCAGTTATATCTAAGTATATAAAATTATTATATTTGACAGTTAAAAAATTGGTAACATTTTTTAGGTATCCATCTTGCTATTAGTAAAGGATCATTGTTTAGTGCCCCTCCCCCCCATAATTTCAAGATGACTTCTAGTAAAATGCGTATTCTTACTGCAACTATGTGAGGGGATTGAGGTCATGCCCCCTTATATATGGAATTAATTATTTCTTGCTCTATTTTTCCTGTACAGAGCCTTTCATCCTATTATAAAGGAGGATTTGAACAGAAAATGAGTAGGCGAGAAGCTAGTCTTATTTTGGGTGTAAGGTAAGTGTGCTGCATAAGTATTATTTTGTTTGTGCCCAAGCTTATATTGAAAAAGGAGAAAATGTTGCAGTAAAGTTATTTTTATATTTTAAATTATGAATAGAAGGCAGAGGAGAAAATATCAAGTTTTTACATTTTAAAATCTCTAAGAGAAAATCTCACATTCCTAAAAAAAAACCCGGCAAAGTTGAAATGTGTCTTTACTCCATAACAAGGAGCTATTATATTTCTTCTTTTTCTTTTTTAAAAAATTGATTTGAGAGAGAGAGAGGAAGAGGGGGGGAGCAGAGAGAGAGTAAGAGAAAGAAACATTGATTTGTGGTTCCATTTATTGATACATTTGTTGGTTGTTTCTTGTATGTGCCCTGACTGGGGATTGAACCCACAACCTTGATGTATTGGGACAGTACTCTAACCAACCAAGCTACTTGGCCAGTGCTCAGGAGCTATTATATTTCAATATTAAAGTTTCAAAGCAATTATCATAATATCCCTCATTATGATAATGAATTGTTTCTGGATTCAGTTTTATAATTTGATATGTATCATATTTTCTATTATAATGTGGGCTCTGTTTCACAATTATTTTCTAGTTTTGCAATTTGACATTTAGCATATTTTCTTAGACTTGTTTCACCTTTTAAACATTCGTGCACCCAGTGGGGTCCCTCAGCCTAGCCTGCGTCCTCTTGCAATCCAGGACCCCTTGGGGGATGTTGGACAGCCGATTTCGGCCCAATCCCTGTAGGCCAGACCAAGGGACCCCACCGGTGCAATGAATCTATGCACTGGGCCTCTAGTATGCATATAAGATCTTTGGTTAATCTTTTCCCACCCTCCCCCATCCCCCCTTTCCTCTGAGATTCATCAGTCTGTTTCATGTTTCCATGCCTGTGTATTGAGCGTCTGCCCCCTGGTGGTCAGTGTGCATCATAGCTACTGGTCAAACGGTCGCTTAGGCTTTTATATATATACTAGAGGCCCGGTGCACAAAAATTTGTGCACTCGGGGCGGGGAGGAGGGGGTCCCCCAGCCCGGCCTGTGCCCTCTCGCAGTCTGGGACCCCTCGGGAGATAACGACCTGCTGGCTTAGGCCTGCTCCCGGGTGGCAGAAGGCAGGCCCAATCCCTAAGTGCAGCCCCTGGTCGGGCTCAGAGCAGGGCTGATTGGGGAGTTGGGGCGCCGCCCTGTCATGCACAGAGCAGGGCGGATTGGGAGGTTGCGATGCCACCCTCAGTCACGCTCAGGGTGGGGCTGATTGGGGGGTTGGGGCACCGCCCCCTGTCACACTCAAGGCAGGGTCGATGGGGAGGTTGCGGCGCCACCCCCTGTCATGCACAGAGCAGGGCTGATCAGGGGGTTGGGGCACCTTCCCCTGTCACGAACAGAGCAGGGCAGATAGGGAGGTTGTGGCCCCGCCCCCTGTCACACACAGAGCA